CGGAGCACGTTCCCCCCCCACCCCCCAGCATGCTTGCTGCCCTGGCTCCCTGGGGTCTGAGCGCACAGGCCGGGAAAGGGTGGGTAGGCCGGAAGCAGCCCAACAGGGCAGAGCAACGTCTGACTGGTCTCCCCCCAGGACTCCCTCTGGCCCTCCTTGCTTCTGAGCTGGGTGATGCCGTGGGGCTGGGCCCCCTGCCCACAAAACTCTCAGGCGCTTGCTGGAAGGCTGAGCCGCCTGCCCCACGGGGAGGGTGTCGCGGGAGGAAGCAGACACGTTCTGGCAGGTGGGGTGTCTAGCATGGACCTCCATCCTCCGCTTCTCCCCTGCCCCAGCCCCTAGCCCTCCTCCAGGCTTGTCTGCGGCCCGCCCTGGGCCTCGCCAACCTGGCTGACCATCCCCCAGGGGACCCTGCCCTCATGCACACCCTCGGGCTGGCACTGGCTCCATGCCCCTGGGCACTGGGCACGGTCACCCTGGAGTCCTGCCTGGGGGTGGGGGGGGGGCTTGAGGGAGCCGACTCACACTCCCTGATAAAATAAAAATAGTTGGGAGGAGGCGCCCAGACGTGCAGGGGGAGGGGGGCACGAGCTGCTTCTCAGACGTTTAAATAATCTCCGCCATATGTGTGTGGGCCTGTCCCTCCCTCCGGCAGCGCTGGCCAGGGGCCGGGCCGATACCCCGTGGGTGCGCGCGGGAGCCCGGTGCAGCAGCTGGGGCTCGCTGACCTCTTCCTCTTCTCCCGCCAAGCGCAGTCTGAGCACCTACTGCATGCGGAGCCCACCCCAACAGAGAGGAGAGATGTAGCTTAGGGTGACAGACGGGGGCGGCTGAGGACCCCATGGAGGGCTGTGGAGGCTCTGGTGGGGGTCCGGCCATATGTCCTACTGTTGCTGCCCATTCTGAGTAATGTGGACACGAGAGGGGCTTGCTTGAAGAACCTTCAAAAAGGCAAAGAAGTGTTGGAGAGGAGAGGGGCTGGCCGGGGGCTCAGGGAGGTGGGAGGCGTGCGCCCCACGCCCCGGCCCCTGTGTACGTTTGCTCAGGGAGGGGGCAAGTGAGCAAGGGCCTGGGTCTGGGCCTGCACACCCTTGTGGGAGGGGGCCTGCAGCACCTCCGTAGTCTGCCCGTGTGTGTGTGTGCTCACGCAGGGAAGCCTTCGGGCGTCACTTGCGGGTTTTGTTGGAAGAGTAAATTGAAAGAGGTGGAGCTGCTGACCTCGCCTGGCCTCTTGCGGCCTCCCGTATGAGGACAGGGTCAGTGTCCGTGGTCAAAGCAAAAGCCGGTGCTGCCCGGCTTCTGCCGGCAAGGACGCTGCCCCCTTGGAGCAGCTGTGGCCGGGGTCCTAGAGCCACTGGAGGAAGAGAGGAGTGAGGGACTGAGGGGATACTCTGACAGATGGGGAAACTGAGGCATGGAGCCCCAGGGGCCGCCCTCAGACTCTGCTTCCCGGCAACTGCCCAGGGCGGGCCGTCCGGCTCAGCGGTTCAGCCATGGGCTGCTGTGGCCTGGGGCGTCACTGTGGGCTGGAGCCCCCTGGGGGGTGCTCTGCCTACTCCTCCCTCTGTGCTGGGCACACCCCTGCATCAGGCTCCTCTAGGGCTGCCCGGTAGTGGCCAGGCCCCGGAGGGCGGGATGGCCGTGCCAGGCGCCAGCTCCTGTCACCTCCTGGGGGCGGGCTTGGTGGCCCAGCCTGGGCTCGCCCACATTTGAGTGTCCAGTGGGGGCCGGTCCCAGATAGCACAGGGACAGAGCAGGACAGGATGGGTGGCCCTGCCCCAGAGGGCCCTGGCTGGTTGGGAATGTGCAGATCAGCCTGTGTGGTGTTATCAGGCAGCCGCAAGGCAGCCGTGAGGATCCTGGAAGGAATAGCTCAGCTCCCAGGACTGAGAACCAGCAGAGGGGTGTGCGGGGCAGGCCCGAGGGAGCCCTCCTGCTCCTTCCTGGCCAGGGCTGCCCCGGCCTGCACCTGTCAGACAGATGTACACTGGCTCGAGGGCCCGGAGGCCACATCTGCCGGCCCTGGGGGGCGGCTGGCGGCTGGGACTGACTGAGGGTGTGGGCCATGGTTGGGGTCGGGACACTCAGGGTGGCTGGTGCTCACAGGCAGCCAGGGTGTAAGTCGGGCTGGGTGGTGGGGGGTGTACCAGGTGAAGGTGGAGTGAGTCCAGCCCGGGGCCTCTCTGTGGCCCCCTTGTTGGGGCGGCTGGGCTCTTGTCCCTCTGGGTGTGGGCCTGGGTCTGCTCCCGGGCAGCCCTGGGGTGGGGGTTTTCTCAGGTGACCCCGAGGGAGCAGTGGGGGTTGGCTTGGGGACCACATGTGGACTTGGGGGCTGGTGTGGCCCCCTTGCCCTGTGCTTGGTTCTCCTGGGTGCTGGTGTCCCTTCCCTTTGAGAGCTGGGGCTCAGCCCCCATGGGGAGGGTAGGAAGGGAGGAGCCTCGCCTCCTGGTTAGGGGGGCTGAGCCACTGGGGTTCCGGGCTTGTCTTGGGTTCAAGCCCAGCCTGGCAGTCACCCAGGGCCTGGCCTTTGCACATACCCAGCATGCTTAGCTGCACTGTGGGGTAACATGGGCACCCTCAGAGCTGGGAGCTCCCCCACAGTGTCCTAAGGCCCTGGAGCACCCCAGCCCTGCATGGGGGCCACAGATCTGTGTCCACCTGCTTCATGGAGTCTCGGGAAGGGGTTACCAGGGCCTCCAGGCAGCAGAGGGCCTTCGCTCAGAGCCCTGCATCAGGCTGGGTTAACAGGACCTTCCGCCCCCCCGCCCCCGTCAGCGGAGGACCACGACCTAGGTTGGCTGAGGAGGACTAAGGGAGTGTGGGGTGCAGGGGCTGGGCCCACTCAGTCTGTGCCCCCAAGTGCGTCCCCTACCCAGACAGATTGGGGCACCTGAGTCCCCCTGGCTGATGGCAGGAGACCACTGATCAGCTAGTGGCTGAGAGCCCAAGGGCATGACCTGAGAATGGCAGGTGTGGCTGGCTTAGGGAGCTTTTGGGGGGCCGGGAGGTGAGAACAGCCCCAGAGTGGGACCAAGCATAAGGGAGGAAAGAGGAGCAGGTACAGTTGGGTGTCACCTGGTTTTGAGGAGCTGTAGGCTTTGAGGCAGGAGAGAATGGCCCAGTGCCAGGGAGGACAGCTGATGGAGTGTGGCAGCGACACAGGACAAGCAGGTGGGGGGAGTGGGGACCCGTGGCCTGGCCCCCACTCTGGTCCTGATGCTCTCCGGGGGTTTGTGGTCCCCCTGCCCGACTCCGATGCCCCCGACTCTGCGCAGAAGCTGTCAGGGCTCCAGCGGCCCCCACCTTCCCGAGGAGGCCCAGGACCCACCCCTTTTCCCATTCCAGAGGCCAACAGCTTCCTAATCTAATTCCACACAGCACTCCTCCTGCAAGGGACCGAGTCAACGCCGCTTTGGGAGAGGCTTTTAATTGGGTTCTGGCATTTGGCTTTGAGTCGATTATGTTGGATCTGGTCCGGTGGGGCCCTGGCTCTCTGTGCTCAGCCCAGGATGCCCATCGCTGTCTCCTCATGGCCTGTGGCCTCCCACCCTCTCCGGCCTTGGACCCGGCTGCCTGTGACCAGCTCTGGGGCGTGGGTCCTGGCTCCTCTCCTCTGTGCTGGGGACAGAAGGGTGACCGTCCCTGTCTCAGCACAGCCCAGCAAGGCTCGGGGCTGTTCTTGTGGTGCTGGGGCGGGGGGCACAAGCAGGCTAGGGCTCATGGGCCTAGTGGCGGGACCAGGCCCCAGTCCTCACTGGGGTGGTGAGTTGTGGTAGGGTTCTGCCCCTCGGGGCTCGCACCACCTGTCTGCCAGGCTGGCCTGCCCCCCTCTCTGTTCTCTTTGCCTGGCTCTCCTGCCCCAGAGCTGCCCGGAGTGTGGTCGGCCACCCTGGGGACTGTCCTTGTCTGGGCCTTGTGTCCAGTCGGCAGATGGGCGAGTGGGTCTTCCCTGGGCCTGGCTCTCCTCCCTTAGGCCAGGTCTGTCATGAGGAGGCCCAGCCCAGCCCAGCCTCTGGGCAGGACCCGATGATGAATGCACCGAGGGCGGTGGGCCGCCACCGCCCAGAGAGGTCAGGCCTTGGGGCTGGTCCTTGGGGACCGAGGCTGCACAGCCAGGGGCCTGGAGCTGGGTGAGGGACTGTGAGCGCTAGACCCAGGCCCAGGGATGCACACCCTCCCTCCATGCTGGGAGGTGCAGCAGAAAGGGGCCCAGCTCAGCTCTGGGTTCCAGCCCACAGAGGGGTGCTCCTGTCCCCCCTTCCCCCTACCCCCTTCCCCCCCCCGGGGACAGCGGGAACACCCTCTGAGCCCCTGGCAAGTGCAAGGCATGTGGGGTTAGCGGTAGGGGCTTCTCTCGGGGCTCAGGCCGGGATGGGAAAGGGGCAGCAGCCTTTGAGTCCAGCATGGGGAGGATGGTGGGGTGATGGTGGGTGGTCCCATGAGGACGGTCACCCCAGGCCTTCCTGAGGTGTTTGTTGGGTCCCTAGGGTGACCACCTCTGTCTTGGCTGTCACTGCTCAGCCAGGACGTGGGGGCTGGTGGCCTGGGCCCTGGTCGACACTGCCCCTTGACCAGCGCCCTCCTGGCCTCCAGCTGGGAGTCCCCTTGGCCTAAATCCTCTGGCCAGCTGGGCTGGACCCAGGCTGGATTAGCACAGGGGATTGGGCCGAGCATGGGCGGGGCAGGCAGAGGTGCAGCGGCTCCCCTCAGACCCGGGGACGCTGCTTCTCTGCGGACCCGTTCGCGGCCCTGGTGGGTGGGCAGGCTGGCCTGGGGGCCACAGAGGCCCGTGGCGGGGGGGTCGGGCCACTGCCTGAGATTCCTGGCAGCAGGCCTGTGGGGGCCTCGAAGGGCTCTCAGGAGGAGGAAGAAGAAGCAGAAGAGAGAAAGGGGCACGGGAAGCCTCTGTGACACCTGCCATCGCCTGACCTGCTGCTGAGGTGGGGTGGGGGACACCGGCCCCCCCCGGCCTCTGGGAGCCACCCCTGGCCATCTTTAGCATGTCAGTCCCCTGGCCGTCTGCCCCCAGCCGGACCGGGGCAGCGGTGGCCTGCCTGACGGAGGCCCTCCTCTGGGTCGGAGCGAGCGTGGCCTTGTCCCCGCCATGGCAGCTTGGCCCACTAGGTAAGGGGGCAGTCCTGCCAGGTCGTGAGGGGCCAGGACAGGCCTAGTGCTCCTTGGCGGGAGCCCCGCCCAGCCCCACAGCCCCTGGGGCTAGGAGGGTGGGGGCTACTTCTGGGGGCTACTTCCTCCCAAGGAGACCTGTAACCTCCTGCCCCTTCCCTCTGGGCGTCATGGGACCCCAGCAGCACCTGCAGTGTGCCTCTCTGGCCACCCCTCCCCCCGCACTGGGGCCTGGAGGCTGCACACCAGGCAGGCAGTGGGGAGGATGGGGCGGGGGGGGGGGGTCAGGGAGGGGCTGGGGGCGGGACCCTGGCTGGGCACTCAGGTGGCTCTAAAGCTTTTGCTGAGGGGTCCCTGGCATTCGGGGGGGCAGTACACCTTCAGCCCCGATGGGCTGGAGGCAGCGTGTGGGTGCAGGACGTGACAGCCCTCAGAGGTGGGCAGAATGCCCCTCTCCGGTGTGAGACACGGGTGTGGGGGGTCGAGGCTGCCCGGCTGTGACGGGAAGGTTGCGTGTCTGTTTTGGCAGGGCTAGCCCGTGGAAGGCCCCATTTGGGCTGTGTGCCCCCCAGGTCTCTGCTCCAGCTGAGAGACGGGGCCTGGTCCAGGTGCCACCTTCTAGAACCTGTTCTGGGCCTCTGGGCTGCCCCTGTCTCATGTCCTGCCTCATCCCTCTGCTCTGCTCCCTGCACACCAGCAGCCCCACCTGTGTCCTCACCTCCCGGCGTCCTCTGTGGAGCCCGGCCTCCCTGTGGGCCCTCCCCCTGCCGTGCAGCGTCAGGGATTGGCTTCCTCCAGGGAGTCCTCTCTGCCTGGGCTCCTCTGGCTGGCAGGTGCCTCCAGAGCACCACTTGAGGGTCCTTCACTGGGTGGGTCTCGTGCGGGTTAATTACTTGGTGCTTTAGCAGATGGAACCTTCTGAGTCCTGGGCTTTCTGTGAGTAGGTGTGAGGGGGCTGGGGCAGGGGGCCACGAGTGACCCCACCCCTGGGCCTCTCTCCAGCCCCAGGGGGCTGCTGGCCTGGCTGGGAGCCCCCTGACCCCGGGACCTGGGAGACACACAGGCTACAGACAGAGGAGGGGAAGGGACACTGGGGGAAGGGTCTGCGTTCTGGAGCTGAGGTTGGGTGCTGTCCTGCCCCCCCATACGAGTCTTGGTCTCACAGGGCCCCGCTCTGTGCCTCCAGGGGTAGACTGTGCCAAGTCACCCTTGCCGCATGGAGGAGGCGGGTGGCTTTCCTGAAGGCCACAGGAAGGGGGTGCAGGCTCTCAGGAGAGCCCCCTGCCTGCTGGCTGCCCACCAGGCACCTCCCTGGGCCTGGCATGGAGGCCGCACCATGCAGCAGCCCCTGAGAGGGTGTCATAGACTTTGGGGCAGGTCATGGTGTCCCTGGGGCTGGCAGTGGGGGGGGGGAGGGCAGGTGGCTGGAGCCAAGGAAAGCAAAGCCACGGAGGACCTAGGTCCCGCCTGGGCCCGCATCTGGCCCAGGCCTGTGGGGGAGGGAGGCAGCGGCCGGGCTGGGCAGCCTGTCTCTCAGGTGGGGCCCATGGGCCGGGAGGTGGGTGCGTGGGTGGTCTCTGCGCCCTGAAGCACGTGGGGGTAGGGGGTAAGGATGGCCTGGCACTCACGGCACCCCTGTCTGTCTCTGTGTCGTCTGTCTGCCGCATCCGCGGACCAGTGGAGAGATGTATGAGCGCCATGCAGGCGGGGACTCAGATGGTGAAGCTCCGTGGCAGCTCCAAGGGCCTCGTCCGCTTCTACTTCCTGGACGAGCATCGCTCCTGCATCCGCTGGCGGCCCTCACGCAAGAACGAGAAGGCCAAGAGTGAGCAGGGAGGCCCTAGGGGGCACGGGGGGGTGGGCTGAGCAGCTGTGGGGCAGCTCGGGGGGCAGCAAGATCCTGAGCCCTGGAAGTCTCCAGGGGGCTTTGGGCCTGGCACCTGGGTGACCTCTGGACACCAGGGGGGAGGGGTTAGGGCCCCATGCCCTGCAGGGCCCTGGCCTTGTTCCTGCCTGGCAGAGCCCTCAAGGACTCTGGGCCCCGAGTGCCCTTTCCTGTGCTGGATCTGGGATGGGCTGAGGGGCCAAAGGACCTTCAGTCAGGCTGGGGGACAAAACTTCCTAGAGACAGAAAGACCCCAGCTGGGCACACCAAGGGCCAGGCTTCAGTGCCCGGGGTTAGCTCAGGCAGCCTGGGGCATGGAGGCTGCAGGGCTGCCTGGAGCTGGGAGGGTTTGTGCAGGGGGTGGAAGGGCGAGGCTGCTCTCTGAGCAGGGCATGGCAGGGGCCAGGCTGAGAGGCAGGAAGGGACACATTGGAATCCTCACGGGCCAGGAGAGACCCAGGGGTGCCAGGAGCGGGCCTCAGCCCAGCAGTTGCCAAGGGCACTGTCGCTGCCATGGGGCCTGGGAGAGAGCTGGGTTGCAGAGGCCCCTGGAGGGCATCCTGAGGAGAGGGCTGACACTGCCCTCTGGGACTGGGGAGGTGAAGCCACTGTGCTCACTTGGGGTTCCTCCTTGTGCGTGGCACTGTTCCCTGTACTGGGTCTGAGCATGAGGTGGGCAATCACCTCATAATAGGGCAACTTCTTGTCCAGCTGAGCACCGAAGAAAACAGAGAGGATGGAGAGAGAGGGGACAGGTAGATGGGGTCCTGGAGGCCCCTCAGTGGGGGGTAATAGGGCAGAGACAAGCAGACCGGGGTGGGGGGACGAGCGCGCTGCTTAGGGCTGACTCTGGCCTTGGAGGGTCCCCAGGAGGGAGGGATGGGGGCAGCTGTTCCCTGCCAGCCCCCCAGTCTGGGCCCCCCCCACCCCTGCCAGGCACATGCATGCACCCAGGGAGCTGGAGAAGGGTAGGTGGGCAGCCTCCCTCCCCAGGTAGGTGGGCTGCATGCCTGGGAGCTCAGGGGTGGGAGCAGAGGACAGAGGGGTGAGCCCACCCCTCACTGCACAGGTGGGACAGCCCCACCGTCTTTGCCCTGGATAGGATGACCCCCAGAAGGGCACAGAGCCCGCGGGGCTGAGCAGCAGGAGGTGGGCCGGTGGTAACGGGAGGCGGTCCGAGCTGGATGGAGGCTGCAGTGCTGGGGGCCCAGCCCCGGGCGCCTGGCTCCCGGAGGGGACGCTGGCTACCTGTGCCCTGCACGTCGTGAGAGTCCCTGCCACATGTGTGGGAACAGACCCTAAAGACACCTTCCCGAGCTCATCGACTGGGCGTAATTCAGATTTTGAACGGAGGCTCTGTGGCGCTCTGGGCGCTGCGTCCAGTAATGAAATCCTTGGTGGAAGCTGGGCGGGTGCACGCGGAGCAGGACCCCGCGGCACCCCTGGCCCCACCACCTGCTGAGGCCAGAGCTCACTAGGGAGGCAGCGCAGGATCAGGCCGGCATCAGAGTGGGGACCCGAGCTGGCCGGAGCTTGTCTGGGCTCCCTCGCTCTGCAGCCCCGGCGGGCTCGGTACGGGCGCCACGTACCTGGGATTGCTAATGAGGGGGAGCCGCCCCCTCCCTCTGGGAGAGTGTGTGAGCCTTTTCACACCCAAAGGAAGTGAGGAGCAGACCTCAGGGTCAGAGCAGAGCAGGGGGGGGTGGGCTCCCCAGCCTGAGCACGTTTGTACTTTTGAGGGTCCCTTGAAATACCCCTTCCCCCGCTCTCCCCAGCCTCGCCTCTCCTGTCCCTTTGTGCTGAGCTGCTGCAGTGGGTGGGGTCCCCAGGGGGCCCGGGGCGGGCTGTGACCGGGGCCCTGCCCCCTGCAGTCTCCATCGACTCCATCCAGGAGGTGAGCGAAGGGCGGCAGTCCGAGATCTTCCAGCGCTACCCCGATGGCATTTTCGACCCCAACTGCTGCTTCAGCATCTACCATGGCAACCACCGAGAGTCGCTGGACCTGGTCTCGCCCAGCGGGGATGAGGCGCGCACCTGGGTCACGGGCCTGCGCTACCTCATGGCGGGCATCAGCGACGAGGACAGCCTGGCCCGCCGCCAGCGCACGAGGGACCAATATCCTTGGTCTTGGGGGACAAACCTCAGGGGCGAACTATCCACCTGGCGGGTCACACATCTGGGGAAGGGGAGCAGGGAAGGGGTGCTTGGGCTGGGGTCCTCCACTCCTCCCTGTCCGTGGCGGGGGATGGGTGCGTGCGGCGGACCCTGCTGGACCCGTGTTGGTCCCTAACTCGGCCCTAAAGTGGCTGAAGCAGACGTTTGACGAGGCCGACAAGAACGGGGACGGGAGCCTGAGCATCGGCGAGGTCCTGCAGCTGCTGCACAAGCTGAATGTGAACCTGCCCCGGCAGAGGGTGAAGCAGATGTTCAAGGTGAGGGGGGGCGCAGATGGCACCCTGAGCACAGGCTGCGGGGCCGCAGGTGTGTCTGCAGGGGGGCAGTCCCGGTGCGGCGGCAGGAAGTCCCGGCGGGGCCTGCAGTAGGTTGGCGGGCAGCTCGCCCAGCACCCTGCATCGGCCCAGGGGTGGTTGCTTAAATGTGGGGCGCGGTGGCAGCAGCTCCTGGGAGCCCTCCCAGCGCTGGTGGGCTAGGCACTCAGGGCAGGTGTCAGGTCACTGAGGGAAGCCACCCAAAACAGGCTGCAATCCCTTACCTCGTCCTCCCCCGACTGCCTGGCCACTGGCCCGTCCTGCAGGCAGCCGTTCTGGAGCCCCGCCCCATGCAGCCTCACGGTTCCAGCCAGCCTGGTGTTAGGAGTTATGAAAATGTGTCTGTCATCGGAGAGGCAGGCTTTATTGTCCGTAATTAGTTTCTCTCCTTCCGGAACCCCTGCTGGGGCGGTGGGGAGAAAAGGTGGCCTCGGTGGGTCCTGCCTTGTGGGGTTGATGGGCAGGCAAACCCAGCTCCTAGGCCGCAGCCTGGAAAGATGACTCTCTCTCGCTCCCTCGCTCCCTCGCTCTTGCTCTCTCGCGCGCGCACACGCACACACAGTCCACTGCTCCCCCAGGCCCCGGGGGCTTCACCTGAACTGTGCAAAGACAGGTGCTGACACACTGGCTATGGCAGGGGAACCTGCAGCTCAGGGCACAGGGGTCTGTGCGAGGATGAAGGGGCGAGTGGGATGCCCTTGGGCTGCTGGCCAAGGACTGGGGGGCTCACAGGGCCCCTGCTGGAGGCCCCCAAGGGGACAGAGCCTGCCTGGGCAGTGAGGAACGCAGATGGCTCAGGCCTGCAGATCAGCCCCCCACCTGTACCCTGCCGACCCTACCTCCGGGGACAGCTCTGGGGCAAGAGGTTCTTCCAGAATGGTGAAGCTGTCAGGGGCCAGGCCACAGGCTGGCTTAGAACTCGGGGTCCAGCCTGGCCTCTGAGGTGGGAAGAGAGGAGCATGCCCTCAGAGAATGGGGCACGAGTGCACGCAGGCTCCCAGGGCCTGATGGTCCAGTGCAAAGTCCTGGCTTGGAGATGCACCCGTGCTGGGTGCATCTCCCATGCTGGGAGCCCTGGGGAGCCCATGCCCACCTGCTCCTGTAGGGACACTGGGCCTCTCATGCAGTCTTCGGGCACAGGGGCTCCCCACAGAGCCCTGCGACCCGCCCCTGGCTTGGCTGAGTCCCGGCTCTGACCAGATCCTCTTGAGGCAGCCCAGAGCAGTGGGGAGACCGTGCAGCCTGGTGCCTGCAGGGGGTGGGCTCTGGGCTGGCTCTGGAGGGAAGTGAGCAGCAGGGGTGGGGGGTCGATGCTGGCCTAGAGCTGTGGACCCCAGACCCAAGCAGCCATGTCCACGGTAGACCCCGAGTGCCTGGGCCTCCCCGGCCATCTTCATGTCCCACCCTCCCAGCGCTCTGAAGCCCAGGGAAGGAAGGCTGACTCCCTGCCAGGCAGAGCAGCTCTGATCATTAGGATCAATTTTGTTGCCGAGAAATCTCAAGATTGTTTCCAGCACCTGGAAGTGCCTGATCGAAGGCGAGATCTGTGGGGGTAAAGAGTGCCTTGAACATAGTTTCATGAAGTCTGAGATAACAGCGGAGTGCAGGCTAGGCCCAGCGTGGCCCTCGGACACCCAGCAGAGTGGCTCCAGCCTGAGGGTGCCTTCACGGGCCGCAGTCACTGTCTGCACAAAGAACGGCCGACGGATTGCTTCAGGAGGCACTTCTGGGGCTGTGCTTTTGGGGCTCATCCTCATAAAATGTTTTCATTCGCCCCGAGGGCTGGCAGCTGGATGGAGACCAGGCAGCCACCCCAGCCTGGACTCCTGGCTGTACCGCCCCGCACAGAACTGGGTGGGAGGCCAAATCACCCCATGGGCTGGACACTCAATGCAATGGGCATCTCCGCCCAGCTCCAGCCACGCCCTGGGGAGGGCTGCCCGCCTGCCCTGTCCTGCCGGCTCTCAGACCCAGGGCTGCCCTCAAACCGAGCTCCAGACACAAGTGGTCTTTGTCTGGTGTCTTCTGGGCCCCAGCACACGTGGCTCTGGTCCTGTCCCAGCCTTGGCACAGATGCTGGGGTCCTGGAGTGAGGCTCGGGGGCCTTGCTGGGTACCCATCTCAGTGCCAAGCTAGGAGCAGATGGTAGAGATCAGCCTTCCCAGAGCAGTTCTCTCACTGGGCACAGGGACATGGGGGTGTCTGTGGTCACCTGGTTCCCTGGTGATGCTCCTGGTTCAGAGGAGGCCTCAGGGACCTGGCACCTAGCCCCCAGTCACCCCAGATTGTGTCAGCACATGAGGAAAGACTATCCAGAGGGCGCACAGAGCAGGGAGTATTGCTGTCCATGGTGCTGATCTGATGTCCATTCCTGCTGTGCCGTCCAACCTCCAGGCAGGTCCTGCTCACCCCCAACCTAGCCCACCAGCCCAGACCACTCGGGGTCTGGAACAGCATCTCCTGTGGCGCTTTTCTGGCCCATTCCCAGGGATTGCCACGGCCCCAGGACACCTCAGGCTCCTCTGGGCAGCCCGGCCTGCAGTTGCTGGGTCCCTTGTCCTCTGGGTCTGTCCCTAGCCTTGGGGTTTGGTGTTCCCAGGGTCTGACACTTCAGTAGATGTTCCCTGAGTGGTGGGTTCATGAAGGAGTCTGGTCTCACTGGGGCCCCAACGGGTTCCTGCTGATGTTGTGTGAGCTGCCCTGTCTGCAAGAGAAAGACAGTGGCCAGGTCCATTTTCTCTCTGTTGTGGAGACTGAAGCCAGGGCACTCTGTACCCTGGGGCCTTGAGCTTTTCTAACCAATGGGCAGCCAAGTGTAATTACAGACTCACAGCCCAGGCTGGGCATTAACTCCGGAGTGGGGTGTTAGCTCCCAGTGTAGGATGTTAGCTCCCACAGTGAGGGGTTGACCCCCAAGGTGAGGTGTTGGCTTTAATGTGAGGTGTTGACTCCAGGATGGAGTATTGGCCCCCAGATGGGGTGTTGGCTCCCACTATAAGGTATTGGTTCCAAGGGTGGGGTGTTGATTCAGATGGGGCATTGACCCCCAGAGTGGAGTTTTGATTCCAGTGTGGGGTGTTGGTTCTCAGTGTGGGGTGACTGTGCCAGGTTTAGGTGTAAGTTGACCTTGAAAGCCTGGGACTAGGGTAGGGGAAGGTGAGATCTGTGTTAAAGGGTCACTCAGTGGCTTCTTGGTGGGAGAGTCAGAGCGGGAGCCCAGCAAATTCACTGGGGCAAGCATCCCAGGGAGCTATCAGAGTGGGACACTAGGGGTCACAGAGGTTTTGGCTTGTAGGAAGCAGACACAGATGACCACCAGGGGACGCTGGGCTTTGAGGAGTTCTGTGCCTTCTATAAGATGATGTCCACCCGCCGGGACCTCTACCTGCTCATGCTGACCTACAGCGACCACAAGGACCACCTGGATGCCGCTGACCTGCAGCGCTTCCTGGAGGTGGAGCAGAAGGTGAGGGCACGGGCAGTGGGAGCAGGGTCCTAGCCTATGTGGCCTCACCTTGGGCTCCCAGAGCCCTTGAACCGGTTCAGTGTGGCTGAGAACCCTTCAGTGTGGAAGGATGGGCCACAGCCTGGCCTTCAGGGTTCTATTAGTGGACCTGCTTTGGTTCCCTTCATGGGCCATGCCAGCGTATTTCGGGGTGTGTCCCATGGAGGCCCTGAGCAGGTAGGAAAGTTCTGTGGTTTCTCCTCTGTGGGCCTCTGAGCAGCTCAGCCCTGACCACAGACACCCCGAGCTTCCTGAAGGGAGCCTGCGCTTGACCACAGCACCTTTAGTGTGGAGCACCTCATAGAATGGGGGTGCCACGTGCCAGCCTTCCCACCTGTTCCCGCCACGGGTCGGGCCAGCTCGTACCCCTGAGCTCCAGGCCCACCACTGCCACCGCCATTCGCCCATTTGTCCAGCAGATGCCCGGATGCCCCTGGGTGCCAGAGGGGCATGCCTACCCATTTGTCTTGACTCTAGCCCCTCCTGTCCATCCTAAGACGTTGAGTGCTCCCTGGGCTTTGCCCTGCGGACTGGGGGCCCAGCGTCCAGAGGCTCAGGGATGTGGACCCCTCAACCTCGGCCTGGGCAGGGGCTGGGTGTTGCTTTCTGTGGTGGGTAGGAGGCTGGAAATCTGTAGCCGGAGAGGGGAAGGCCAGTGTCCCCTGAGGAAAGAGCGCTCCTGCGGTGGGGCCCAGACAGCATGTGGTTCCCACCCTTAGGGCTGGTGGGAGGCAACCATGAGGACCAGCTTCCAGACTTGTAACTTCCTGGAACCCTCAGAGACCCAGGTTTGGGCAGAGAGTGGGAGGGGCGGTCAGCCTTGAGGCTGGGTGGCTGGATCAGCAGGAGCAGCTGAGAGACCCAGGCTGGGTCTACGTGGCATTTGCCCACGAGCTCCCATCACTGCTGTCCTGGGCTGGCACCCTGCCCCACTCTGCCCTACGAGTCTGCCTCAAGCCCAGGGCATGACAGAGGGCTGCCCCTGGGGGTGTTCTCCTAGAACACCTCCCCCACTCACACAGTTGGCTGGGGGTCTGTCCTCGAGGCAGTCCTGCTGGTGGGAGGACTGGGATCCAGACGGGAGAGGCTGCCTCCAGCCTGGAGGGATCCTGATGTCCAGGGCGAATCACTCCCAGCCCAGCCACTGTGGGCAGCGTTGGAGTGAGGCTGTGGGTTCTCTGTTGCGGTTGCTGGTATACGTAGGGGTGGAGGGTGGGAAAGTGGTCCTGTCTGGGATGGGCAGTACCGACTCATTATTCCCTGCCCTTTGCCCTTAGCTTTCCAGAACTCTCCCTATATCTGGGGTTTGAGCCCTGACCCAGGCCCTTGGACTTGACCTCCTGAGGTCCACAGCTGCTCTGAGCTCTGACCCCATTTGCCCCCCTTTCCCCTCTATCACTGGTTACGCATCCCCCTACCCCGCATTCCTCGGGACTTGCTAGAAGCCCTGCTGGTGGGCCTGCCTCTGGGAACTGGGGGTTCCTGGCCTGAGCTGCACCCCAGGGCCCTGGGAGATCCCTCAGCCTCTTATGCTTGGGGCCATCGGTGTGCAGGGCCACCTTGGGTTCAGCTTTGTTGTGCAGCTTTCCTGTGATAGATGTGGGGAGCAAGCAGGGAGAAGCAGGGAGAAGAGGCCCCTGGGTTTCTCCAAGGTGGGACTGGGTCCTGGTTCTCCTGCACCCCTGTACACACAGGGCTCCCTGCCAGGACTGCCCTGGCCCATAGCTCTTGAGACCCCTAACACAGTGGGGATGAGGGGTGGCCCAGCTGATGGAACCCAAGACCCTTCCCCTGCTTCAAGGATCCGCAGTCGGTGACAGGTCTTCCAAAGCCATGTGATCCACCAGTAGTCCTCTGGCCACCGAGCCTGAGTCTTGTGACACTGGGGGTGGCCAGCGTGTCCCCCAGTCTGGGAAGCACACTGCAGGGGCCTGAGCCTCCCCCCGCCGTGGTTAGTCTTGATGTGACCAACAGAGGCCGGGTGGGAGGCAGTGGTGGTGGTGGTGGAGGAGGGCCTGCTGCCTGAGGCTAGCCCAGGCCAGTGACGGGCTAGCCTGGGCTTAAGCCCTTGCTCTGGCCTAGATGGCGGGTGTGACCCTTGAGAGCTGCCGGGACATCATCAAGCAGTTTGAGCCTTGCCCAGAAAACAAGAGTAAGGGGGTGCTGGGCATTGATGGTGAGTGGGGGCGTCACTGCGGTCCAGCTGTCCTGGCAGGCCAATGGGGGGGTGCTGGCGGGCAACCTGTGGGCCTGGACAGGTGGCCTGAGTGGGCAGCTTCCTGTTCCACATGGCGCGGAGATGGGTGGTCCTGAGATGAGCCTTGTGATGGGGCCGGCGTGTGGGGGCTAAGCACCCACCGTGCTCCCCACACAGGCTTCACCAACTATACTCGGAGTCCTGCTGGCGACATCTTCAACCCAGAGCACCATGGTGTGCACCAGGACATGACACGGCCACTGAGCCACTACTTTATCACCTCGTCCCACAACACCTACCTCATGGGCGACCAGCTCATGTCCCAGTCTCGGGTAGACATGTACGCCTGGGTTCTGCAGGCTGGCTGCCGTTGCGTGGAGGGTACGTGGTGGGGGCTGTAGGACACCACATCCCCTCAGACTTGGGGCCCCGGGCCTGAGCTGCGGACCGGTGGCTCCTCTCAGGGACATCGCTGTGGCGTCTCTGAGCAGGGTGTCTGCCCTCCTCCCAGGCAGGGGCTGTGACAGGCTCCTCCTGCTGTTAACTGCTGGGCAGGAGGACCCCTGCGGTCAGCCCATGAGCTGTGGGTCTCTGGGCATGGGCAGCCAGACTCCTGTGGCTGACTGAGGCCTGCCTGCCCACAGTGGACTGCTGGGATGGGCCTGACGGGGAGCCCATTGTGCACCATGGCTATACTCTGACCTCCAAGATCCTCTTCAAAGATGTCATCGAAACCATCAACAAATACGCTTTTGTCAAGAATGAGTGAGTGGCTGGGACTGGGGAGGGAGGCGCTAAGCAGGTGGGTGGGTGGGGGAGGGGCTCAAATGGCTCTTCCTGCCCCTCCCCCACATCCTTTTTCAGGAGGCGCATTTGCAGAGGCCAAGGGGTTGATTTTGGCGTCTCTTGTTGAGGCTGAGGGTCAGGGAAGGGAGTGGAGCCGCAGATCTGGGGAGAGGGAAGGCGGTGGGTGCGGGAGCTGATAGCGGACGAGCCGTGGCTGGTGGGGTACCTGTGCCAGCAGCCCCTGCCCACACACACTTGGCAGCCCCTGGTGCTGGCTGCCTGCAACAGCGGTAGCTCTAGTACTAATTACCCCCCAGAAGCTACTCGATGTCCAAACTCCATTTGCTGTCACTCAGCTGTAGCTACAAACACTGGTGAGCAAAATCCAATTTAGTTTCTGGAAATAGAAGACCGCCTCCCCACACTTACAGTCACCTTCAAGTCTTGGCTGAACAAGGCTCACAGGCAAGGAAAGAACTAATTTAATGAGGGAGGGGAGGAGACGCAAGATTGATTTCGGAAATAGAGAATAGAGGGGCCCCTCCCAGAAGAGCTTGCCCAAGCTCTGTCTTGGGCTGCCAGAAGGGAGTGGGAGTGAGGATTGGCAGCCTGGGCCCCAGAATTGCAGGTGAGAGGGGCATCTCAGGGCAGGGGAGCTTGGACAGACAGGTGTCTGTAGCTGCAGAGGACCCAGGGACCCGCTAATGTCTCAGCACAGGGCTTGCACCTTATGTGTGTCAGCATAATCTTTGCAGGCATAAGGTTCTTCCCTAGGGCCTTGGGCTTTAGGCTTCAGTCTCTTGCCTGAGAAATGGGGAGATGAATACTTCTGCCCCAAGTCCTGTCTGCCCTTTCCACATCACAGGACTTGCCCATCTCTTGCTTTGATTCATGCCCTCTATGTCTGGGTCACTTACGTTTTCTAAAAAGATCATGTTACCTTTGGGCAAAAATCCAAGTAAAATGTGCACTTGGTTAAAAAACAAATCAAACAACTGAAGAGCATATAATGAAAATCCCTATGTTATACTCCCTATTCTGCACTACATAGGTAATAACAATGTTCTACCAGATGGTATGTGCCCACCTTATGTCTCCTTTCTTATGGGGCCAATGTTGGGACCTCAGAGCCATTCACAGGATGGTGTCTCCAGTATCTAGGTCAATGAGATTATCTTTCTCAGTCTATTCATTGCTCCACGTTGCACCTCAGTTGAGTCCACATCATTTTTAAACCATGACTTGATGACTTGCTTGAATATTTCCTCTTGTTTTCCTGGAGTTTCTAATTGCCTTTGTTTTTTCTTATTGGGATATGGATTGCATGCCTTCTTTATCTGTCCCTAAAATCTCCCAGCTCCTTTCCCACCCACTCAGTTGCTTTTCAAAGCCATTGATGGACCCCCTCCCAGAGTGGCTGGCAGTTCCACCTATTCTGGTTGTTGGTAAAGATATTTTTTCATTCACTGGTGCAGGTGACTTGAGGTTTTACACAGGTGGGGCCTTGCCCTCCCCTGGCTTCACTCTGCTCCTTCCACCTTGGGGCCACAGGTACCCAGTGATCCTGTCCATTGAGAACCACTGCAGTGTCATCCAACAGAAAAAGATGGCCCAGTATCTGACTGATATCCTTGGGGATAAACTGGACTTGTCATCAGTAAGCAGTGAGGATGCCACCATGCTTCCCTCTCCGCAGACGCTCAAGGGCAAGATTCTGGTGAAGGTGAGCACCTGCCTGACCCTGCTAGGGCCAGCATCCTGCTGGGCCTCTGACCTCTGATCTGTGGCCAGGTGAGGGGCAATTGCCCTGCTCTAGATAATATGGGGCTCCACACCATCTGTGGCAGATTTGAGGAGTCAGGGTAGGCCCTACCCCTGACCTGCCCTCAGTCTCCCTCCATGGTGGCCACTCAGTCTAGGGACCTCTGTGTACACAATCCGGCATTTCCCTCCCATGCTGCTGCAGCAAGGAAGTGCTGGACTGGCCTCTACCCCATGGCCTGAGGTCCACAAGCAAGCTTGAGAAAGGCTCCTTCCCTTTGCTGCTTCTCGTATGGGTACTGGCCTCCCAGTACTTCCTGCAGGACCCCTCCCATGGCCCACTGCCTCCCCCCAGGGCAAGAAGCTTCCTGCCAACATTGGTGAGGATGCCGAGGAAGGCGAGGTGTCTGATGAAGACAGTGCAGACGAGATCGATGAGGACTGCAAACTTCTTAACGGGGATGTGAGTAGGGGCTGGGAGGCCCTCTTCGGGGCGGGGGGAGCTGTAGCCCTGAACAGCAGGCTCATAGCTGGCTCAGGTGGCTGAGAGAGGGTGCTTGGGCAGATGCAAGGGTGCTTTGCCCAGTGTCTACACAGCTGGGCGCATGCTCGGCCAGTGGGGGCCCTTCCCTACCTGCCCCTTCACACAAGACTCGGCCCCTGAGCACCCAGCTAGCGGGCTTCCACCTTTTCACCCAGAGGCTCTGGGGCTGGGGGGTCACACAGGCAGGCTGAGGAGTGAAAATGGGCTTGGCATAGCGGGGCTGGGGCAACTCTGTAATTAGCTTCTTCTCTCCTCTGGGCACTGTTCTAAGCTGCTGCTGCGAGGTAGGAAGGCATTATTTCTCCCGGAGGGGCCATCAGATGGGAAAATAATTGTGCAGGAGCATTCCCAGCCACGTTAGCTAATTGTTTTAGAAAGCCCTGAAGCAGCAGAATTCTTTCTGCTTTGGATGTGCCTGCATATTTCTCTGGCCGTAGGTGACCGAAAACCCATGTTGTCTGATGTCTAACTGGCATTATTCCAACCTGGGCCCTGGGGCACCTGATGCCCATGGCCCAGGCCCTGCCCCAGAGGGGTCCCCGTGTGTCAGGGCTACGAGGGGGGGCTGCTCCAGGCAGGGAGAACGGCCCAGCCCCCGGTGCTGGCCAGCTAGGCCATCTGTCCCCACCCCCGCCCATCTCCTTGAGGTGTCTGGTAGCCAGTGGAGGGATCCCAGATCCCCAGCTGCTTAGGGCTCCTGGAGCCCAAAGTGGCCACCAGGTACCCTGAGCCCCTTCCCCAAAGCCCACTGGCTGGAAGCGTGGCAAGCTGTCTGCTGAGTTTCTGTGGGCAGCATTGTGCAGCTAAAAGATGCAGGTGTTAAAATCAGAGAGGCCTTGGTTCAGGGCCTGCTGGTCACTGTGGCTCTGGGGCAAATCACATGCCTGCTGTATGGCCCTGCGGCGGGGTGGTGTGAGGATAACACAACGCCATGTAGCAGTGAGTGTGCGGCTGGGGCCAGGGGTGAGAAGCCAAGATGGGGTTCTGGCTCCCCAGCTCCAGCAGGCCCCTCCAGCAGGGAACTTGGGGGCCATCACCGCTGCTGCCACAGGGCTGGGGACTGATGGCACGGGGTGGCCGTCTGGCTCTGGCAGGTCGCCACCAGTCGGAAGCGTGTGGAAAACATTGCCAAGAAGAAACTGGATTCCCTAATGAAGGAGTCGAAGATTCGGGACTGTGAGGACCCAAATGACTTCACCGTGTCCACACTGCCCTCGTCTGGAAAGCTTGGGCACAAGGCAGAGGGCAAAAAGGTGAGAGCCCGGCAGCCTTTGAGGTCAGCCTGCGGCTGAGGGAAGGGCCTGGAACATCCGGTCTGTGCACACCTGTTCATACATACACCCCCCGCCCCCGCCACCAAACCCGTCCCCGGATTTCTGGGTGGGGAGGACACAGAGGACCTACAGCTCTGGTGTGTGAGCAGGTGGCAGTACGTCCAGTGTGGCGGACACGATGTGAAGTCCCTGCTTTCCCTTGACCAAGCAATATCTGGGCATGCACCCGGGAGCTTGGGGACTCAGACGACGGCCGCTTGGACCTGGGAAACTTATGTCTGTGTGATTTTTTGCGTGAGGAGGAGCAGGTACTCAGGGAAGGCTTCCTGGAGGAGGAGGAGGAAGAGCAGGAGGAGAAGCAGTAGCAGCTCAGGCTGAGCCACCAGGCATGGAGCTTGGAGGGGGCGTCAGGGAAGGCACCTTGCAGCACTAGGCCCTCCCCTGCTGGGACATGGGTAGGGGGACAATGGGGGTGCGGGGCACAGGGCTCTATGAAGGGGTGTCTAGGCAGGGCGGGGAGCATCTGGGCAGTGGGGTCATGCACATGCGCCCAACATGCCTCTCTGTCCCCTTTGCTGGGGGGCCCAAGGCCGTGGCCCCCACCCCCCGGGAGGTCCCTGTGTGGGAGAGGGCAGGTGGCTCAGAGTGCAGTGAGGTGGGCAAGAAGGGGCCCCGGGCTGCAGTGCTGGGCACAGCTCTAGTGGTGCTGGTGCTGGCCAAGGACAGGCCTGATTCCCCCCTCCCCGTCACCCAGAGGGGCCAGGAAGAGACCTGCTTGAACAGAAGGGGCCGGCTGGGCCGGGCCCTGCCCCCTGTGCTCTGTCCAGAGCATGGGTGCTCCTCCGCCTGCCGTCCTGCCCACCCCACCCCACCCTGCGGAGCTCTCTAGGGTCACCAGGCTGTGGGGGCGGGGCAGGAGTGGCCCAGGGCAGCCCTCCGCTGCCCACAGTCTCCTTGAGGATGGTTGGAGCTCGGGTCCGTGCTGTAACCCCTGCCAAGCTTGGGCGTGTGGGCGTCGGGGGGGCGGCAGCAGATTCTGGCTGAGGCTGCCGCTGCTTCTCCAGGGCACGCGGCGTTTCCGGCAGTGTTTACAGAGCTGCGAAGTGTGTCGGCCCCGACTGGCTCCAGACACACCATGCACACGGCTCCCAGCGCCTCTGCCAGTGTGCCGTGGAACCATCAATAAACTAGGAGGGAGATGGGGCGGTGTTGCTGGGCTGGGGAAGAGAAAGAGAAACACTTCTGAGAGCAATTGGACTGTAGCTGATGCTGAGCACCCCTGTTGCTGCTGCCCTGGGCCTCAGGCTTCGGGCTGGCTCCTTCTGTGCTGACTAGCAAGGTGTGAGCCGAGCGGCCCCAGGGTGGACACCGGAGCTGCAGAGCTGACCATCATGTGTCCCCCTGTTGGGCACAGCGGGGCCCAGCTTGAGTTCCAGGGTCCAGGCTGCAAGGCTGGCAGTCCAGGCCGGGCCGGGGTTGGCGGGGAGGTGTGGACGTGCAGGGGTGCGCCCACGGGTGTGTGTGGATGCGTGTGCAGGACGGGGCCTGGGGAGCCCCCTTGGGCAGGGCGGGGAAGGAATCCCATAAGTAGCGGCCAGGAAGGCTCACGGTAGCCCTGACGTGAACAAGGGCAGCTTCGGGGGCGCAGACCTGCATCTGTCTCCGCAAGAAGCAGGGCCGGAGCCCAGAGCCGCAGGGAGCTTGTACGGGCCTGACAGAAGCACGCATGGCTGAGGAAACTTGCAGACACACAAACGGCGTTTATCATACACTCACCCACTGCGGGAAAAAAATTCAGAACTGGGGCCTTAATGGGCTTAAAGCAGCACGTCTCGAGGGGCTCCCTCTCAGACCCCTGCTCCCTGGCCGCTGCCGCTGAGCCCCCAGGGAGGGCTGAGGGATGTGTCTCCACGGGCCCCACCTGCCGCTGCCGCCTCCGAGCTCCTTGCGGGAGGGGGGGGCCTGGAGCCCCTGGGACTGAGGCCCGCCCCCCCCCGCCGTCACCTCGGAGGGGTGCCTGGAGCCCCTGGGACTGAGGCCCGCCCCCCCCGTCACCTCGGAGGGGTGCCTGGAGCCCCTGGGCTGAGGCCAGCCCCTCCCCCGCCGTCACCTCTGTCTCCCTCTCCCCCAGGCCGAGGAGGACGTGGAGTCCGGGGAGGACGCCGGGGCCAGCCGACGGAACAATCGCATCACGAGCGGCTTCTCCAAGCTCAAGGTCTGGCGGGGCTCCCGGGCGGGGGCGCCTTGCTGGAGCCCACCCTGCTCCGTCTTCCCTTCTTGCCCAACTGTCCCTGGGCCGGCCAGCCGGGGCGTCCCCGCCAGCTCCCAGGGCCCCGGGCCTGCCTCCTGGAACCCCCCTCTGGACCCCTAGCTACCGCGCCTGCCTGGGGCTGCACAGCGTGGGGGCCTCGATGGCCCTCCCCTGGCCCACACCAGCCAACGCCCCCGGGTCCCTCGGGGCCAAGGCCGACCAGCACGCTGCAGAGGACCAGCAGGCCCAGCCTGGCAGCCTGGGAACCAGGAGCCCCGGATGGCAGGCCTGCCTCCTTCCCCCTGCCGGCCAGTGCAGGTGACTCAGCTGAGCCAGGGGCTCCATGGGGCCTGACTCCGCTCTCCCTCCGCACAGAAAAAGAGCAGCAAGCTAAAGAAAGCAGCCAGCATGGAGGAGGGGGATGAGGACCTGGACTCCCAAGGCAGCCAGAGCCGAGGGTCAGTGCCCTGCCCCAGCCTGGACCCTGACCAGAGTGGCGGGCAGGAAGTGCCCGTGTCCCTGCAACAGCTAGTGTTGGATGCGCAGGCCCCACGGTGGCCCCGTGACCGCATGGTGGGGGAGGGGGAGCCCAGGGTGTGGACCTCAGGGTCTCGGGGCCGGACTGGCCAGCACGGGCCCCTGTGCCTGCTCCTAGTGCCCGTCGCGGTTGGAGACGTGTTCTTGGGTGGGCTCGGCGCCCGTGCCTGCCCCGCCCCCGTGTCCTTCCTCAGTGTCCACTGCACATCCCGGCACCCGCAGCAGGGCGTAGTGCACGTTAGGGGAATGTTCTGCATGAATCAGTGAGCCCGGCTCGCAAACCGTGGAGCCCAGGCTGGCCTGAGTCAGGAGGGGCGCCCACCCTGGGGTCCTGACCGCTGTTGCCCACGCTCCCCGCAGGGCGAGCCGGCAGAAGAAGACCATGAAGCTGTCCCGCGCCCTCTCGGACCTGGTGAAGTACACCAAGTCTGTGGGCATGCACGACGTGGAGGCGGAGGGTGAGGGGACGAGGGCCCTGGTGGCGTGGGGGAGGGCTGGGCCGTGGCCTGGGCGTGCCTCTGAGCCCCTCCTCCCCCACAGTGGCGTCCAGCTGGCAGGTGTCGTCCTTCAGTGAGACCAGGGCCCAGCAGATCCTGCAGCAGAAGCCGGCCCAGTACCTCCGCTTCAACCAGCACCAGCTCTCCCGCATCTACCCCTCCTCCTACCGTGTGGACTCCAGCAACTACAACCCGCAGCCCTTCTGGAACGCGGGCTGCCAGATGGGTGCATGTCGCTGGGACCGTGAACGGGGGGCCCAGCGCTCCGAGGAGGCTGGGCTTGGCTCCCCGGCCAGTGGCTTTGGAGAGCCTCCACCACATCCCACCAGTGTCACCGGGCTGGCACTGGGGTGGGGTCCTTGGGACCCCGGGACACGGTGCAGAAGACAGAGGCGCATTGGCCCACGTGCTCCTAGGGGAGGCGGGGGGCTGGCTGTGTGGGGCTCCAGAGGCATCCCGCGGGGACGCTGGCCCTGGTCGTGCACCACAGTGAGCCCGGGGCCGGGTCACGTAGTAGAGTGCTGGACTCAGGGGCAGCCGAGCAGGGGAGGCAGGGGGAGGCAGGCTGGGCACTGACCAGGTCACCCTGCGTCCCTGCCCCATAGTCGCCCTGAACTACCAGTCGGAGGGGCGGATGCTGCAGCTGAACCGCGCCAAGTTCAGTGCCAACGGGAACTGTGGCTACGTGCTCAAGCCGCAGTGCATGTGCCAGGGTGAGGCCCGGGGGCCTGGGACACAGGGCGGGCAGGGGGCAGCTGCCGCAGGGTCACCTGGGGGGCCACCCGGGACACGGCCCCCCAGGATGCCAGAGGTGGGGGTGCGGTGAAGGGTCCCCACTCTGGCAGGGGTCGGCAGGGGGTGAACTAGGGAGCCCCTCACCATGCCTGGCCCCCCACGCGGCCCCCCAGCAGGACATGTCTGAGGCAACTCCCCGTGGGGCTCAGGTCGAGGCGCCCTGGAGCGAGGGCCCGGGCCGGGCACCAGAGCTTCCCAGTCCCTTCCCAGACCCTTCAGTTTTCTCACTGGAGACCACTGGAGATCATGTGCGCAGTTCTCCCCATTTTAACCTGAATCCTCCCCCCACCCCTCCTGCCACCTTTACCGCATGACGGGCCTGCAGAGCCCCATCACTGGGGCGCCCAGGACCCGGCCCCCCCACCCAGAGGCAGCGTGCGGAGAGGGGAGAGGACGGTGTCCTAGCTCAGGGCGGTCACAGAGGGGCCAGCACGCAGACCTCTGGTGCCCCCGAGCTGGAACCCTGCCTCCCCTCCCCCCGCCCCTGGCCTGGGGCTCCGGTCCAGGCAACAGGGTGTGGTGGGGTGCACTGTGCAGCCACTGCCCCCCTCAGCCTGGCGCCCTGGGCCCCCAGGTGTCTTCAACCCCAACTCCGAGGACCCTCTGCCCGGGCAGCTCAAGAAGCAGCTGGTGCTCCGGATCATCAGCGGGCAGCAGCTCCCCAAGCCGAGGGATTCAATGCTGGGGGACCGAGGCGAGGTAGGAGGGGCCCTGGCATGGGTGGGTGGGGCTGGAGCAACACGCCAGGCCCGGTGCCACCCCTGCCCTCCCCCCAGATCATTGACCCCTTCGTGGAGGTGGAGGTCATCGGGCTCCCCGTGGACTGCAGCAAGGAGCAGACGCGTGTGGTGGACGACAATGGTGAGGCCCAGGGCTCCACACGGCTCCACTGACCACAGCCTCACGGGAGGGAGGGGTGGGGCCACTCCTGTGACCTAGACAACCTGCCTGCCGCCCCCCTGGGGGAGCCTGGCTCAGAGCCTGGTCCCCGGGTGCTGCTCCTCTCGGCCCAGGCACCAGAAGAGGGCGTGGGCCCCAGTGGCCTCCAGGCTGGACCTGGGGTGGGAGGTGACCCTCCTTCCGGTGGCCTCCAGGATTCAACCCCGTGTGGGAGGAGACCCTGGTGTTCACTGTGCATATGCCTGAGATCGCACTGGTGCGCTTCCTCGTCTGGGACCATGACCCCATTGGGCGTGACTTCATTGGCCAGAGGACACTGGCCTTCAGCAGCATGATGCCAGGTGGGCAGGGGGGCCGGCAGGGTGGGGAGGGGTGGTGTCCTCCCTAACAGACACCAATGTCCCCTGCTCAGGCAGGCATCCACCATAGAGACCAGCATTCCACCCCAGACCAGCGTACCCCACAGAGACCCGCCCCCCCACACAGACCAGTGTCCCCTATAGGTCAGCTGAGGGCACCAGGGCTGACCTTCCTCCTGTGGGTCGGCTCCTGTCATGGGTGGGCCTAGGGACACAGAGCGAGCTGAGGAAGGTACAAGGCCAAGGGCATTTTGTGGATGGGGGAGGGGAGGGGTGCTCAGGTGCCGTGTGCCGCCCGGCCCCCAGAAAGAGGAAGAGCCTGCAATACCAGCGGGCTTCCTGGAGGAGGAGTCCCCAGAACTGGGCTCATGGGTTCAAGGCCTCAGGACCTTTGAGTAGAGTGGGGCAGGGTGAGCCGTGACCGGCTATTTCAGGCTATCGGCACGTGTACCTGGAGGGGATGGAAGAGGCCTCCATCTTTGTCCACGTGGCCGTCAGTGATATCAGTGGTAAGGTGAGTGCCGCCTGCAGGACCACCGGCCTCGCCCCAGCCCCAGTCCCACCCCAGCCATGTTGCCCGGGCTGTTGGGCCTCCTAGTTACTCACTGGGCCTGTTTCTACACCTGCAAAGTGGGGGGTGGGGGCACCTGACCTCCGCGTCCCGCGGCCGCTGCAGCCCCTGCCCCCGCTCCCCGTCTCTCCTGAGCCTCCTCACGCCTTCTGTGTCTCAGGGTCCCCAGTTCTCCGTCCGTCTCTGGCTGGAAGGGGTCCGCCTGGCTTTGCTCCCTGTCCCCCGTGTCCCTGGATGGGGGTCCTCCTCCATCCCCCCAGTTCTGAGCTCCGGGCCCAGGCGGGGCCAGTGCGTGGCGGTCTGTCGGGCATGCATGGGGGGGCCCGTGTGGTCCTGGCGCCGACTGTGTCTCTCCTGCCACCCCCACGGGTCCAAGGTGCTGCCGGGTGCGGCACCGCAGGCAGCTTGGCTCCTGCCCGCCATCAAGCTGTCTGTCTGTCCGGCGTCTGCCTGTCTCCGCGGGCTCCGTGCCCGGCTGTCGGTGTCTCACGGCCGTCACTCTGTCTCTTTGGTCTTGCAGTGGGCTTCCCCATGTCCAAAGTCTACTTTTAGAAGGACAGTCCCGTTAGGAGCTCGAAGGTACCCCAGCGTCGGGGTGGCGGAGCCGCCCGCCCCCACCTGCATGCTCAGGCCGTCCCCATTAGCATCCGTGACTCCTGGTAGCGTTTTGGAGACGGTCCGCTCACGTGACATGGATCGTGGTGCGGTTCTGGGATCCCCTGGGCCACGTTCAGCCACAGAGCAGCATTTATGAGGCAGGTCCAGGACTCCGGCGAGGCCCCCTGTGCGTGGACCCCTCCCGGCCTTCTGTCCCTCCTCTGTCCTCTGCCCCGTGCCGCTGCTCCTCTGTGTCCGGTCCTCTAGCTCGGAGCGCTGCTGGCACCCCTGCACCCGTCGCCCTCCCTGCCCTTGCCCTTCCTCTCCGCCACCCCCCCCGCTGTGTGCTCCCTGGCTCTGTGTGCACCTGCTGTGGGGTGGGGAGGCCCCCGGGACCAGGAGCTCTGAGCTTGAATCCTGGACCTTCTTCTAAATGACTTTGCAGCCAACTTTGACCAAATTGCTCCGGATTTGGGATCTTGAATTGGGAAGCCGATTCAAGTGCTGGCCCCGTGAATGCCACTGCCCAGAGTGCCCCCGTGTCCCTGGGGAGTCGTGGCTGTTGTCGGGGCCTCTGCATGTGAGGACCCTCTGGCCTCTGCACTCTGGAGACGCAGCTCCCGGCCTCCCCGGCGGTACCCCAGGCCCCTGCTGGCCAGTCTGGGGACCCCCGGCTGTTCTCCTCGGGCAGGGAGGCCGAGGCCGGCAGCAGTTCAGGGAAGGCCGAGGCGGCATGGGCTCTACCCTTAGGATGGCTGTGCAGAGAGCAGGGTGAGGCTGGAAGCAGCCAGGAAGGCTTCCCAGAGGAGGCAGCACCACTGGGGCAGCGGGCGGGCAGGGACACGGGAGAGCAGACCGCTGGCCTGCGCCCGGCTTTGCTTGCTTCCTCGGCCTGTGGCGCCCGAGGGCAGGGTGAGCGTGAGCGGGGTGGTGCCTGCTTCCATGGGGTTCTCTCTCATCTCTCGCCCCCTGCCAGTGCCACTCTGGGGGCCCTGTGCCGGCCTGCTCTGCCAGAGCCGGGGGCTTTGGGGACCTGCGAGGGGTACATGTGTGAGCGCAGGAGCCAGAGTTCAAGGTCCCTGTTTGGAGAAGCCCGGGCCTCCTCCTTGCGGCCCTCACTGGGCCCGCGTGTCCTGACACCCGCAGCCCCTCCCACTGTGCTCAGGGAAGGCGGGCACATTCTTGGTCTGTGCCAAGGCCATGGCAGCTGCTGTCCCTGGCAGGGGCACCCTGGGGACCCTCTCCCCTACGTGCAGCTGTGAGCGGCACAAGCCTGACATGCCCGCCGGTGCCTTCGCCAAGCTGGCTCCGGGGCTGCGGCAGGCTCAGCCTGGTCACCGCCGGCCACAGTGTGTGCCTGGACGGGGCGGGAGGTCCCTGGCCCCGGTGCCTGGCTACCGGCTATGTGGGCTCCTTCTCTTGCAGGTCAAGCAGGCTCTGGGCCTAAAAGGCCTGTTCCACAGAGGCCCAAAGCCCGGCTCCCTGGACAGTCATGCTGCTGGGCGGCCCCTGCCCCGGCCTTCCGTTAGCCAGCGGCTCCTGCGGCGTACGGCCAGCGCCCCGACCAAGAGCCGGAAGCCGGGCCGCAAGGCCCTCCCGGGGCTGGTCCTGGGCGCGTGGGACACAGGCTCCGAGGGGGAGGCCCGTGATGTGGCAGCCCCCAGCCCCGGTCCCGCTCTGGAGGCCTCAGCCCCCGAGGAGCCCGGCAGCCCCCGAGGTAAGGCGCCAGCGAGGAGGAGCCCGGCGCAGGGGGGCCTGGCCCCGGAGCAGCCCTCTGGTGCCCCTGAGGGCCCCGGGCCTGCTGGCGTGGCCGCCGCCTGCATGAAGTGCGTGGTGGGCTCCTGCGCCGGTGAGGACGCGGAGGGCCTGTGGCGGGGGCGGCTGCCCAGCCCGGGGCCCACAGCCGCGCACGAGGCCATCAGCCAGCAGCCCCGCTCCTGGGCGGACTCGCTGGGGGCTCCCTGCCCCGGCGCGGGGAGACGCAGAGGGGCCAGGTGGCAGGGTCCGGGCGGCGGCGGCTCCGTGTCCTCGGACTCCAGCGGCCTGGGCAGCCCCGAGGTGGTCCCGCGCTGGCCCGAGGGCGCCCACAGGCAGGCAGGGGCCCTGCAGAGGGAGATGAATGCCTTGTTCGTTCAAAAGCTGGAGGAGATTAGGAGTAAATCCTCCATGCTGTCCACCGGTAAGACCAGACGCTCCGGGCCGGCGTCCTGTGCTGCCCCCTCACCGCCCCTCGGCATGGCCTGGGCCGGGCGCCCTCCCTGCGCTTCTGCGCCCCAAACCGCCACCTCCATGTGCTCCTCCTGGCTTCCTTCCTCCTCGCCCCGCTGGCTGGCATGGGGGTCCCCGGTAGCCCCAGCACCCCTTCCCCATCTGATGGTGCCGAGCCCTAGGTCTCTTGCCCCCAAGAGGCCCCCCCAAGCCCCCAAGTGGCCTGGAAGCGAGAGCAGGTCTGACTCCAGCTGCTGTGTGTGCTGACGTCTGTGGCCTGGCGCCCCAGTCGGGCCTTCGCGCTGGCCTGCCCTGCCTGCTCCTGACGCCTTTCCCCAGGCCTGGGGGCAGCTTCCAGCCCCGCCGCCCCCCCCCCCCGCCCCGCCCAGGGTCAGGCTGCAGGTGTTTGGCTGCTGGCCCTGCACTGCAGTCCTCCGAGAAGCCTGGTGTGGGTCGGTGCAGCACTGCAAGGCGGCCCCCGACGCCACCGACGGTGCCCGGGCCCCAGCGTTTGCAGGGCTGGGGCAGATCGCACCTGCCTCCCGGCCCTGGGCGCTCCCTTGTGGCCCGAGTGGAGCCAAGCCGTGGCTGGGACAGACAACAGCCCGAGGGCACCTTGTCAGGGAACCCCAGCCTGGGGAGGGGCTGAAAGCTGAGCCGTTCCCCTCCCCCAGACCCCCATCCCTCCCTGCGCCCCGCCCAGCCTTGCTGTTTGTCTGTCCACCTGCCAGCCCCACCCACACGCTGACCACCCTGTTCTCCTTTCTGTCCCCACGCTGCCTCCATAGTTAGGGACTGAGAGCAGCCGAGTGCCAGGTAATGGGGCCCAGCCCCCGTGTGCCCTGTGCCGTCCCCGGCCCTGGCCTGTCCGGGGGCCCTGTGGACCCTGCCTGTGGGCACAGACTGTCTGCTCCCCCCGCCCCAGCCGCAGCAGAGCCGGAGGGCAGGGTGGGGGCAGCTGTGTGCACACGGAAGAGCCTGGCCACTGAGGGTCCTGGGGGCCCTGTCCACGGGGGACGCGCCCAGCATGGTCCTCTCCCTCTCGTCCACAGATACCCGCTCCTTCTCCGTGCAGAGGACGGGCTCCTCCCTATGTGGTCTGGAAACCATTGCTGAGGAGCCAGCCCCGGGCCCCGGCCCCCCACCTCTGGCGGCTGCCCCCCCCAGCCCCTCCCTGGGAGGGCCCCCACGCGCCTCGGGACCCCGCGCCAAAGTGGCGAGCCCTCCAGCCGTAGCTCTGGGAGCTTCCGCGCCCTTCCAGCCTGGGACCCAGAGCCGAGGGGACATGGAGCCAGCCCCGGAAAGCCGGCGCAGGGTGTACAATGGCGGGGGCCCCGGGGGGGCGCGTGAGGGGGCCCCTAACAGCCAGATGGTCCGAAAGGCGGAGAGTGAGGGGCAGATGCCCTCGGAGCTCCCAGGCGGATGGCGGCCCCTGGCTGGGCCCTGCCCCACCGTGTACTCAGACGTCACGGGCGGAGATCGGCTGTGGCGGCGGCTGGAACCAGGGGGCCATCGCGACAGCGTGTCCTCGTCCTCCAGCGTGTCGTCCAGCGACACGGTCATCGACCTCTCCCTGCCGGGCCTGGGCCTGGGCCTGGGCCGCGAGAGTGTCCCGGGGGCCCCAGCCGGACGCCTGCCCCTGCGGCCCTGCTCTGCCACGGCCGCCCGCCTGGACCTGCCTGCCGTGACCAAGAGCAAATCCAGCCCCAACCTGCGGGCTGCCAGCCAGCTGCCCGCCACACCGGGAGAACTTCTGCCGCGGCCCCCGGCCCCTAGGCCGCCCTGGGGCCGCCTCCCTCTGGCGGGCCTCCGGGACTGCCCTGCGGCTGCCAAGTCCAAGAGCCTGGGGGACCTGACTGCTGATGACTTTGCGCCCCAGGTGGAGATCCTGGGCCAGAGCCTGGGCCTGGCGGGGGAGGGGCGGGCCGGGCGGGGTGCGCGGCGGGACGCGCTGACGGAGCAGCTGCGCTGGCTCACGGGCTTCCAGCAGGCTGGCGACATCACCTCGCCCACCAGCCTGACTGTGGGCCTGACTGTGGCGGGGGAAGGGGTGCCTGGGCCCCCCGGCTTCCTGCGGCGCTCCTCCTCTCGCAGCCAGAGCCGTGTGCGCGCCATCGCCAGCCGGGCCCGGCAGGCCCAGGAGCGGCAGCAGCGGCTGCAGGCCCCAAGGGCTCCCCCAGGGGAGGAGCGGGGCACCCCAGAGGGTGCCTGCTCAGGGGGCCATGGGGGCTGTGGGGATGTGCTGGCTCCCGCCAAGGGCTCTGCCGCCACCGGCCTCCTGCTCAGACTCTGAGGGACCCCCCCCCCAGGGCGGACCCAGGCCCCCCCCCGACCTTGGCGCTGAGTGCCCTCTGCCCCCACCGGTGCCCCGGGGAGGAAGGGAGCCTGCCCGGGGTCTGGGCAGATTTTTCACCATGTTAAGATATATATGAGAAGTATTTAAATTTTTAGAGACAAAGCTTCTACGACATTAAAGTGCTGCCCGGTCCCTTCCCCGTCGTACCTGGTTTTCGGTGGTACGGGTGCGCGGCTCTAAGTGTGCGGTTCCCCGGATGCTTGTTATGTGCCCGGCACTGCCCGCGGCGCTGCCCGCTCCCTGCCCAACTGCGACTGGCTTGTTCCGCACAAGGCCTGCTCTGTGTGGGATACTTTAGCTCCAGGCTTGCGGACACAACTCCAATAAACAGGTTCCTGCTTGCTGGGGGGAGGGGGCACCCACCCACTCCCCCTTGCGACCACCTGGCAGGCGTTCCCGTCCTCTTGTGTGAGGACACCCGTGAGCTCTGTCCACAGAGGGCTCGGTGGGCTGGCTCCCCAGGGAGGGGCCTCCAGCCTCCAAGACGCAGCCCCTGTTCCCTCTCCCCGCCTCCCAGTCCCACTCTGGTGTGTGGGGGCGTAAGCTTGACTCTGGGCAGGGACCCCAGGCCGGAGGACCCCCGGCTGGCTAAATGCATACACTGCCCCTCCCCTGGAGAAGGCGGGATGCCAGCCAGGCCACAAGGGGCTCTGTGTCTCGGCTCATCCCGCACCCCGGCAGCTGGCATCCGACCTCCACAGGAGCCACCGGGGGTGCCAAGGGCCACCAAGGACCTCTGCAACAGGCAGTGACCTTTATGCAGCAGGCGGCAGGTTTGGCTGGGGAGGCCTCATGTCCCACCACCAGGGTAAGCCCTGCTGTCTTCCTGATAAGGCCCACAGGAAGCTGGACACCTGACACAAGGCTGGGTGCCAGTGGGTGGACACAGTCTCCCTCGAGATGTCCCTCTGTAGCCTCCAGGGACCTGTGCCAGCCACTTGCCCAATCTCAGCAGAGGCCCGGGTGGAGGGGGTCTACTGGCCCCACATGCCTCCCCAGATGCACCAGGCCCCTCCTTGGGAAGCTGTGCCCCAAGGCCAGAAGGAGCAACAAGCAGGGCACTTGGGAGGTGTGCCTGGCCTTCAGAGCCCCTAGAATCTGGGGTGCATTGAAGGGGGGCACGTGGAGGAACCTCAGCCGGGGGACTCTCAGTCAGTGCTGGGCTGGGCTGGCTGCTGGGGCTCCCGGGGGGAGAAATGGGGGCCAATCCTTGTCTAGCCCTGCGTGGGCGCTGCCTGCCACCACACGGTTACCTTCCAGGGGCCAGGCTTAGCCCCTGGGAAGCCCGGGTCTGTCTCAGAAGGGTGCCTGGCAGCAGGGTGGGTCCTCCCCGTACAGCTCTGCCCAGCTGATGCAGGGCCAGGGCACCGCAGGCCCCCTGATGGGCAGGCGGGGCAGATAGGAGGACCTGTGGGGGTGTCTGGATGTCGGGCTGAGCCAGGTTCTGGCTGGACTTCTTGGGGCCTCCTGGGTGTCCGTGCTGGGCCACCCCTGCACCAGGCAGGCCAGTGCCGCTCCCCCACCAGGAAGCAGGGGGTGGAGGGTAGTCAGGCCGAGGGGCCAGGGAAGCCACACAAAGGTGGCCGCAGCCTGCTGGAACTGTGCAGGGGTGTTGGCTGGGGAGGTGCAGGGCCAGACTGTGGTGGGGTTGAGGCAGGGGGACCCTTGGGGGTGGGGGTTAATGGGGACCCCCTACTGGGCTGGCCTGGCCAAAGCGGCCACTAGCACGTGGGGCTGTGAGTGACACGTGTGTAGGTCACCGGGGGGCCCGGAATGCCGCAGGAGTGCTCACAGCCCCACGTGCGAGTGTGCAGAGCTGGGGACGGGGCTGGCCGCCTTCCAAGGCTGGCTCCCAGGCGACTGAGCAAAGCCTCGTCTGGCATGCACACGGGCGGCGGCCGTGGCTTGGGCCCACTCCCTGCGGGAAGGGTCAGCGCTCAGCCTGCCCAGGGCCTTGCCCAGCAAGGCGCCCACCCTGCATAGGGCACGGCCACGTGGTCGATCAGCTCCGAGCAGAAGTGTGGGCAGCCACCAAGCCTGAGAGCCCTCGAAGGCCCTCGTGGCTGCCGTCTCCACTCAGGAGTGTGGCTCAGCCCCGCCTGTCGGTCTTGGGTGCAGTGGGGTGCGGACGCACAGAATGACCTTCCCTGACACGCCACTGGGAGTCTCCTTGCTCTGGGCAGGGGCGGGGGATGCAGGAAGCCACGGGATGACCACGGCCACGGCCATCCTAGGGGCCCCGGCAGTAAGTGAGGGGAGACCCCGCTCCCGGCCGCCCCCGGGAAGGGCTGGCCGGGCCCGCTCTCTGTGAAACCACACGGCACGGTCTGGTGTCACTCCAGCCTCTATTCGGTGCGCCTGAGCCCCCGCTGACCTGCCGGAGACGCGAGCGCATATTTACATCTATACATATATATGTGTGTATATATATATATAAAAGATTATTTCACAGTTAAATATATTCCAATACGAATGTCTCACTGGACAAAAGTTGCGTCTCCCACCACGAACACGGCAGCATGAAAGAGACCCCAACGGCACAAGCACCATGCTCACACCTGGGCGCACCTGGCTCCGAGTCACAGGCGCGCGACATCAATATTCTGATTTGAACGCGGTTTCCCTGTTGCGGTCGAAATACATTCCTGACAAGCGACGAGCAGAACAGTCCGGCAAGGCAGGCGCCTCACTCGGCCGGGACCTCGTACTTGAAGATGACGCTGAAGAGCCGGCCGCCCAGCCGCTCGGCCAGCCAGGAGTTCTTGATGACGGCCAGCTTGAGGCTCTCGCAGCGCAGCGCCGCGTGGTAGTTGGTGTGGACGGCGCGGCCCATGCCCTCGATGACCACCAGGTCTGCGCCTCGTTCCCGAACCAGCACGGCCAGCCCCTTGTCCAGGCGGCTTCGGGGAGGAAGGGGGCGGTGAGGCGGGGGTGGCGGGGCCTCACCCCCGCACTGAGCTGCCCCCGGGGAGATGCCACACCCTGCGTCCCCAGAAGGGCGGCAACTGGAAAGAATGCCCGAGGACCCCTGGCCCCCAGCTCACTACATCCCCGGGCTCAAAGTCACCGCCCCGCCCCTGCAAACCGGGCCTGACGACGCTTCTCGATGTGGGACTGATGAAATCCCCTTCCTGGTTAACAGCCGGGCCAGGGAGGAGGAGGTCGGCCCAGAGAACCGTTCTGGCCCCGGGCAGGCTCCCAATGGCTGGTTCTCATGCCCTAGGATCCCCAAGGTCCAAAACACCAATGCGGTGACCCAATTGTCGGAGCTGGGGGGCCTCGGGGGCGTCTGCCTCTCTCACGAGACGAGGCACACCCAGCCCACGGTGCGGCCAACAGGCCCCGAGCCCACCGCCCAGGTCCCCACCAAAGGGCTGCTGCCCGGCACGTGCGCTGGGGGCCGGGGGCAGGCGTGGAGGAGCCTCGGGTACCTGAGGTCCAGACACGGGGAGCTGGAGCCCGTCTGCATCAGCAGCAGCCTCTCCTCTCTGAGTGCCGAGCTGCCGAGCACAAGGGGTCGGTTGGCGCCGGGGGAGTCGGCACCCCAGACACTCCCACAGTGCCTCCACCTGTCCATGCAGCCCCCCCAGGCTCCCAGCCAGCTTACTGGACGACAGGGTCCATGGCCGCGATGCGCTCGGCCACAATGAGGGACTCACAGTAGGTCACGTCGTTCAAGGCGGGTCCCGAGTTGCACGCCAGGATGACCTGCAGCAGGACGCCCCAAGCTTTGTAGGGACCTCAGCCACCACCCGGCACCAAGCCAGCCTTTGTGCGCCCGCCCACCTGGGGCTGCCGGCTGAGAAGCACGACCCCCGATGACCTCTCACTGCTCGGTGGCCTCCAGGAGGGCCGGCTCCCGGGTCGGGATGAAGACGGCCCCAGAACACTGCGGTCAGGCCGACCCAAGGTCCGTGGTGTGACAAGCCTCACCCGAACCTACCTGCCCCGCACAGAGACCACGACAGCGCCAACCCCACTGCGAGTGGAGGGCCCAGGGCAGGGGTCCCGCCGCGGCCTGGACGCTCACCTCCGTCCCTCTAGAGAGAAGCTCCCTGACAAAGGGGAAGACTCCCAAAATGACGTCTATTCCACTGTTATCTGCGAAAATTAAGGCACATTTGTGAGGGGGCCCCTGTAAGACAAAACCAGGACGTCCAGTTGGGAACAGGCGCGTCCAAGCGTTGCAGACACCTCCGTACTCCACACTCCCCGCAGGCCGAGGCCGAGGGCTGCTGGCTCCCATGGGCGCTGGGGTGCTGGGGGGGGGCAGGGCGCCTGGGCCTCTTCCAGAACTGCGGCCCCAACGACCTCTGAGCCACGGCCACTGACCTCACCAGGAGAGCCTGCAGGAGTCGGGCTGGAGCAGGGGCCAGTGGCCGGGGGGAGTGGGCTACGGTGTGAGACCCCGGGGGGCCCTCAGTGCACTACCCTGGGGCAGCCGCGCACCATCTCCCGTGGCCCTCCCCGCCTCCCGGGCCTCGAGAGCACGGCCTGGCCCTGGGGCAGAGGCGGGGACAGTGGTGTGTACCTTCAGTCTCTGAAGCCACTTGCTGTAGGAGTCCACGAGCCACGGCCGCTCTGTGGGACACAGTCACGGTCAGCCACACCATCCCCCACAGGCTCGCTCCCCTCCCGCAGCTGTCCCCTCAACACAAGAGGAGAGCCCTGGGCATCCCTACCTTGCAGCTTCATCTTCGCCTCCTCAAAGCCAAACTGGGGGTCAGATTCAAGGACACTGTGTGGAGAAGAAAACAAGTCACGGAAGCCCCCAAACCTCAGCTTCCAGCATTCACTACAGAGCCCAGATGAAGCATTTCCCAAACTGGCCAAGCGTGCTAGGATCCATAGCGGGTCCCCAGAGCAGCGGCAGTCGGGGCAACCCCCGCTCCAGAACATGGGACGTGGTATGGGGCTGGGAGCAGGGTGAGGGGTGG